TCCATATTAGTTTAATTCCATATAATTTTTATGTTTGTTTTTTACTTTTAAAAATTAGCACATTAAAAATATTTTGAGATCATGTCGAGAAAGATAACTTGCAGCATACCTTTCATGGAATGTGATTTTATCTTCTGACCCCAATCTTGTGTCTACACAAGGAGCAAGTTGCATGGTTGGGTAATTACTGGATGATTTTGAGATATGCAAGGGGGGAAAGGAAGGCTATGGCCAAGAAGCTGGAAAAGCAATAAAAGCTGCTTGAGTTCACTAAAAATGAGTCATTCATTTGACAAACTTAAAAATGATATTTTTATTGCCCTGATAATTGGATCTGCTCAGGCAGCTGAAATGACCATCTGGGTTGTGTGTGTCCAGGCTGTGTTCAGGCGCACTCCAGGTGCACTGCTTGGCTAGCAGTTGACACATCAGCCTGCCCAACTCTGCTTCCTTTTGTTATTGTTTGTTTTGTTATTGTTATTGTTTTTCTTGAGCTATTTGGCCCACGGTTCTGGTTCTCTGCTATGGTTTCTTTTTAAGTAGTCAGGTTATTTGCTCTGGGTCTCTGTTACTTGTGGAAGATTCAACCCTAAAGGGGAACTGAACCCTTGTTTCTCTACCTGATAGATGGAGCCTCCAGATAAGTTTTCATTTAAAAAAAGTCTACTCCCATGCTATGCTCTGGCTCTACATTTGTTTCTACATTTTAGATCATTTCTGGTGAATATAAAGAGGTTTGGATTATCTTTTATTGAAATGTCAGATTAGTGCCTCCAATTTCATCACTTGTAAATTATGTTTAGATGTTTTTAAATGAATGCATATTTTTTCTGCTAATATATAATTTGCACTGAACTGGTTTGGGAAACAATGCCAAATGTTATCTGTGTCTGCTTCTTAGTGGAGTTAACTAGTAAGGTCAAAGATCCAAACAGATTGTTTTGCAAGGTATAGTGACACAGGGATACTGGAGCCAACCCACCTGGGTTTGTATCCAGCTCTGCCTCTTACTAGCAGTGTGACCATGGGCAAGTGACTCAGCTCTCTCTGAGCCTCGGTTTCCCCTCTCTAAAATGGGATAACAATAGTAACCATCTTCTAGAGTAGTTGAAAGATTAGATGAGTTAACATGCTGAAAATAGTACCTGGCACATAATGCTTAGCAGGTGTTAATTGTTTTTTTAATCACTATTATTATCCTGTTGGTGATGATTGAATCCATGGAATGGAAGGTTTACATACTCACTGTTTAAATGTAATTCTCTACTGGGTGAAGTAGATTGGACACTATGGAGGCTTGGGTAGAAAATAAAGACCTGAGAATTCAAAACCAGTAGGAGTTTTGCATATGGTGTGTATGTAGACAAAGTGTTAACTCTAATAAGTTACATTTTTAAATATTACATATTATATACCTGTTGTACCTTCTTAAAGATGATTCTTTTTAAAACATAAATACTATTACTAATATATATATATAAGCAAATAATAAACATTATACAGTAAATATAGAGCATAGTCACTAATTGTTATGAATGTTATCTGTTATCTTCTTATCTTGTAGAACTCTTCAACAATAAGTACATTTATTAAGAACCATGGCTTTAAAAGTGCTACTAGAACAAGAGAAAACATTTTTCACCATTGTAGCTTTGCTAGCCTATTTGGTAAGTCAACTCTACTTTCATAAGAATGTGGTGAGCCCTGGTTGGTGTGGCTCAGTTGGTTGAGTGTCGTCCCATGTACCAAAAGGTCGCTGGTTTGATTACAGGTCAGGGCACATGCTCACATTGCAGGTTCGATCTCTGATTGGGGCACGTGCAGGAGCTGATTGATGTTTTGCTCTCTCTCTCTCTCTTCCTCTCCCTCTCTCTCTAAAAATATATATCAATAAATAATAAAAAAAGAGAGTGGTGGAAGAATTCATATACATAGTACCCAAACTGTTTTCTATGTCTGATTCCATATTTTAAAATTTGCTTTCAAATTGCATTTTATAATTGTTACATTTAATTAATAAATCAAAGATTGCTCCTGAGTCTGGACTTTTGTAACAATTGTCAAAATTATATTTTATTTTTACTTGCAGCCCCATGACAGTTATTACTTTGGGTTTACAGGCATTCCCACAGCACCTAACAAGACCATAGAGTCTGACTTGGAGCCCATGACTCACACAGTTTGTGAAGTATTTAGAATTGATTTTTGAAAGTTCTGTTATTTTAATATAGTTATTTATATTCTAGGTTCCAAAAAGCATTAAGGATAGATGGAGGATTTTCATGATTGAAAGCTTGACACAAAAGATCTATGAAGGTTTTAAAAAGAATTGAAACTTATTTAGTTTGAAGATATAATTATGATCTACAACTATAAAAAGAATTATTTATATTGAAGGCAGTACTCAAAGTCTTCTTGGAAGACAAAATAAGAGGAAATGGGGTCCATTTAGAGTCTGAGATTCAGGCAGATATAAGGAAAGCTTCCTTTCTTTCAGTTGAGGTAGTGAAACATTGGAATGAAGGAGGAGGTTGGGTAATGTCTTTCTCAAAACCATTGCAGTTGCTTTGCAGTGGGAGGGAATCTCTTACCTCTCTCAAATAAAACCAAACTCCTCTAAGATTGGTAGTCAAGGACAGTGAAGAGAGGCAGGAGGAGATTACTAGACCTTTAGCCCCAAATCATGTTGTAGGCCTAAATTCCACCATGAACTCTCCCTTCTGCCTGCTCAGGAGGTTCCGTCTTTGTTTTTATATAAGGAGGCTTGCCGATATCCTTACAGATATTTCTGCTACAAGGTGGAGGTAATTTGTACTGAATAATTGCTCATTATTATAGCCATCAAAAACAATTCAGTGTGTACCTGTGTGTGATAGGCTTTATCCATAACAGCAGTCACTGTTCTCCCAGTACTTCCTAGAGGTTTTTAGCTTTCATTTTGGAAAACAAAATTATAGTCAGGAATGTCATTGAGGGCATTTCTGCTAACGATGAAAGGTTGAACTGAATGTTGTCACCAATCTGAAATTCTATTATTTCGGACAACTTTTCCCCCCACAAAATACTGTTAAGAAAACAGAATAACACAATTTTGTATGATGATCGTATATAAAGTGAATTTACTGTTTTTAGATAAAATAAGAAAAAAAGGCTATATTTTGAAAATTACTTACAACCTACGTTTTTGCCAAAATAGATAATCTTTCTATTTAAGTCCTATGCTGTGAACCAAAGTATATTTAAATGGTTAAATGGTAGTCAATAAGCATATAAGTTCATATTTACATAGTACTTTTAATTTGAATCATTCAGAGTGTTTGGCTACCATTGTCATCTTCATCATCAAGAGTTTTACTGATCTCAAGATTGTCAGAAGTTATCGAAAGACAATCTCTAAATAAATGCAGTTCACCTGAAAAGGTTGAAATTTCTACATCAAAACTGGGTGGCAGATATGTGTAAAGGATAATAGCAAAATTCCTATAGCTATACTAATTAATTTCATTTATTTATTTATTCAATTCATTATCCTTGAATATGCTTATATTTCTTGATGATCAAAAATATAGTTTTGGAAATCAGAATTTTTGAGATTACAAAGGACCTTGGGTCTCTGCATGACTGTTCTTTTATAATCCTCCTAAAAAAGAGAGCAGCTCTTAAGGCATTTTCTACCTTGGGTCCTCAGAAATGTATCAGAGGAAGATAGCAGTTGATTCCAAGAAAAAGGGAACCTCATTCAGAGAATACAGAAAAGAATCAAACATATTGATTTGTTCCACTTACATATTCAAAAAGGTTTTTATTCCTAAAGTGAAAATTAAATTGGCCTCACTCTGACTTAATGTTTACATTCAGTGATTATGGGAATTATCCTGATGATATTGTTTCTTCCTTGCAAAAAAATGCAATTAACTTACTTTAATATAATGCTTTGTGAAACATTTTTTTTTCAGGTCTGTAAAGTGATTTGTGAAACAGGGGATTGTAGACAACAAGAATTCAAGGATCAGTTTGGAAATTGTGTTCTCTGCAAGCAGTGTGGACCAGGCATGGAGTTGTCTAAGGTATGGTATGCATGGTATAGTTGTAGATCTGTGTTTTTTAAATGTAGTATTTTTAGCTAAATTCTTTTCATTAATTACTAGTGAAGATGTGGACACCATGGCAGAATTCTTGGTTCATTGTGTCACTTTAGCCAAATAGAACACAAAAGAAGTAGATTCTAATAACCAGAATTCAATAAATGTCATTGTTTTATATAACTTAGTGTTTATTGTATTTTATTGAAAGACTAGAATTATTAAGATTTATTTGTATTAATTAAAAAGAATTGATAGTCTACTAAACATTTAAAAATAAAGCATTGATAACAGAAAGTGGTAATGCTCACATACTGAGACTTTTCTTTCTTAAAATGAATGTTACCCTCTGAGAATCTCAGAGGAAAGGCGGGGGTGACTGGGTGGGAAGAGATCAACCAAAGAACTTGTATGCATATATACAAGTTATTGGACACAGATAATAGGGTGATGAAGGCCTGGGATGAGGGGTGGGCTAGAAGAGGTCATTGGGGGGGAGAAAGGGGGCATATGTAATACTTTCAACAATGAAGATTTAAAACAAAACAAGAAAAATAAATAAATTGCAATTATGGAAAAAGAAATGAATGTTACCATTGCTAGTCAAGAAGTAGAGCTCAATGGTCTCTTAAGTAATGATGCTCCAAGAGAGCAGTTCTTTTCCAAACCAGGGTTTTGAACATTTGACAATGCAAGTATTATCAGTCTTCCCAAGTTGAGTGTATGTTACTCCCAGGGTCATTTTAAAATATATTCATTTTAACCATTATTTGTTAAGAAACACTGTGTGTGTGTTCTAGCATATTTCTAAGTCATGGATATTCTTGAGGCTCTTCTTTTTTGAGAGCAGGTTCAGAGCTATATATCTATTTGCTTTATTTTCTGACCTTTTGAAGATGTTACTAGTTGTAGAGAATTGATGTATCATTTTTTTGTTGTTCTAAATAAAGCATCAAAGTCTTCCTGTTAGAAAAGGAACAAAAGATTTTTCTTTTTATTTAAAGTTACTTTTAAAAGAGAAGTCCTTTGCCCCTACAGACTGCCATTATTTAAAGTTGAGTGTTGTCATTCATAGATTTTTGATCAATGATCTACAAACAGCAGAACACTAAGATTTATGCATTCCACAGTAATTCCTGGTGCAGGGCCTCTCTCTGGTTGTTGTGTTAGATAAGTGGTGGCTTTCCATATCCTGAGCTTTCCCTTTGGATTGAAACTGGCTGACCTTCACTCCGCCGCTGTGGCTCAGTGATTGAGCGTTGACCTATGAACCAGTTGGTCACCGGTCAGGGCACATGCATGAGTTTGTGGGCTCAATCCCCAGTAGGGGGCATGCAGGAGGCAGCTGCTCAATGGTTCTCGTCATTGATGTTTCTATCTCTCTCTCTCCTTTCCCCTTCCTCTCTAAAATCAATAAAAATATATTTTTTAAAAGAAAAAAATGACCTTCAAACTCTGTGTGACATCTACTTAACTACAGCATCTCAGCTGATATATTTTAATCTGTGGATTTTAGTAACATGCATTTTCAAAAAGATTTTGTTCTGTTTATATAAATACTAAAGGCCCAGTGCACGAAATTCATGCATGGGGGTGTGTGTCCCTCAGCCCGGCCTGCACCCTCTCCAATCTGGGACCCCTCGGGGGATGTCCGCCGGCAGTCGGACATCCCTCTCACAATCTGGGACTGCTGGCTCCTAACCGCTCACCTACCTGCCTGCCTGATCACCCCCTAACCACTCCCCTGCTGGCCTGATTGATGCCTAACTGCTCCCCTGCCTGCCTGATTGCCCCCAACTGCCCTCCCCTGCCAGCCTGTTCATCCCCAACTGCCCTCCCCTGCAGGCCTGGTCACCCCCATCTGCCCTCCCCTGCAAGCCTGGTTGCCCCCACCTGCCCTCTCATGCCGGCCATCTTGTGAGGGCAGCCATCTTGTGGCAGCCATCTTGTGATGATGTCACACGTGACTCCACCTAAGCTTTTATTATATAGGATTCTTTATAGAAGATCTGAATATCTAGGATCATTAAACAAAGTAGTTAAAAATCAACAGTGCCCATGAGGAAAATAGACTATGATATTTCCACCCCTCAAAAGTTCTTCATTTCCCAAATCTCTGTGAAAATCTAAATGAAACTTTACAGATGCCAAGTTGAGTAAATGATTTCTAAGAAATTGCTCCTTAACCTTCATCCTTTGAACTCAGAGACTATAACCTCAAAATTATTTCTGGAGAATCAAACCAGAGGGTGAAGGTATTATCAACTCTAATATTTTTTACTAGAGGCCTGATGCACGAAATTCATGCAAGGAGCTCGGCCCTCACAGCCCCAGCTGCCTTGGCTGGCCCTTGCAGCCCTGGCTTTTTCCGGAAGGTCATCTGGACGGTCATTCTACTGTTTGGTCTAATCAGCATATTAGCTCTTTATTATATAGGACTTTTAAAAAATCTATCTTCTGCCCTAGCTGGTTTGACTCAGTAGATAGAGCATCCAACTGCAGACTGAAGGGTCCTGGGTTTAGTTCCGGTCAAGGGCACATGCCTGAGTTGCAGGCTCGATCCCCAGTAGGGGGCATGCAGCAGGCAGCCAATGGATGATTCTCTCTCATCATTGATGTTTCTATCTCTCTCTCCCTCTCCCTTCCTCTCTGAAATCAATAAAAAAAAATATACAAAATAAAGTCAAGGGAAAAATTTAGTCTTTTGATTAAGACTAAACTTTTTATTAATTGTCAGATGACTACATTTACAAATAATGAATTGCTTTTTACCTGGGATGCTAAATATATTATAACTAGAGGCCTGGTGCATGAAATTTGTGCATGGGTGGGGGGGTCCCTCAGCCCGGCCTGCATCCTCTATAATCCAAGACCCTTCAGAGGATGTCTGACTGCCTCTCGCAATCCGGGACTACTGGCTCCTAACCGCTCACCTGCCTGCCTGCCTGCCTGATCACCCCTAACCCCTCTGCCTGCCTGCCTGATCACCCTTAACCACCTCTGCCTCACCCTGCACCCGGGACTCGGGCTTCGCTCCCTCTGGCCGGCCGCAGACATCCAGGACCCGGGCGGCTTTGCCTAGGTCAGCCGCAGCCGCAGGGGACCATGGGGCGGGCAGCTGATGTCCCTCTCCTGGGCCCCTTGCACAGGTGCAGCCACTGGTGCCTGAGACTGTGGGGCGGGCAGCTTGTCCCTCTCCCAGGCTGCATCCCCAGCTGCTGGCGCCCGGGACTGCGGGGTGGACAGCTTGTCCCTCTCCTGGGCTGCAGGCGCAGCCACTGGCGCCTGGGACCACGGGGTGTGTGGCTTGTCCCTCTCCTGGGCTGCAGCCTGGATGCTCCCATTCCTCTCTCACGAGCTCATTTGTGCCTGGCTGGTCCCCATTCCTCACTCACGAGCTCATTTGTGCCTGCCTGGTCCCCATTCCTCTCTTGTGAGCTCATTTATACCTGGCTGGTCCCCATTCCTCTCTCCCCAGTGTTGAGTGTCTGAGCCATTACAGCATGACTGTGTGAGGGTGTGATGACCATTTTCATATTAGCTCTTTATTATATAGGATAATACATATTATTATTCTACTTCCTATTTAAGACATATTGAAATGTGGCTTGTGTCACCAAGGACTGGATTGTTTATTTCATTTCATTTTAATTAATTAAATTTATGTTTCGCCACATGAAGTTATAGCTGTTGTATTGGACAGTGCTGCTCTAGAATCGTGAACTTTCCTCCAGATGTTCTGACTGAGGACCCACTTCTGAAACAGATAGCTATCCAAATCATGTTCACCTGCTGCACATGTGCGGTGCAGGAGCTGCTCCCTGGTCAGCCTCCATCCTCTTCTTCCTCCTTCGAGCCTCTGTGCTGGCCACTGGTTTCAAAGCATCCACTTGTTTCTGTTCCTCCATAGCTCCTGTTTGGTCTTGCCAAGTGGGCGCCATCCCTGTGGCTCCTCATACCTTTGTGTGCCCTCTTGTGCCATCCTGAGCAGTCTCATCCCATTAGCTCTTTTGGTTTCCAGTTCCCTCCCTGAAAGCCCAAGCATCACTTCTTCTTATTTAGGTTCTTTTTAGTAATTCAGCTTAATAAGTAGTTTTTTTATATCTCTGGGAAAACCCGTGACCCATCACTGAGCCATTTGGAGTCTGTTTTGAGGATTTTATCCATTGAGCCATATTTAGTTGTTCTCTCTTCCTCTACAGGGTTTAGTTTTTGAAAGTTTATGGGGATAATTGATAGCGTCTTTTTCCTATTTCTGAGGCAAAAAAATACAAAGTTTTGTTTACATTGCTCCATAAGAAGTACATGCTGGGTGTCTCGAGTAGTGAATATGGGTAGGAGTATTACACAGACATTCTTTCAGCTCATGAGAATAAACACCATTGGTATATGTGAGAGAGGATGAGTTTTGTTTTCCTGAGTGATCACATAGATTTTTACTTCTTACTCTAAAATTTGCTTAGCCATGGCCCCTCCTCCTTACTGAGCATTAATGCCAATAATGTCCTTTTAACATGATTTCCTCCAAGCAGTAAATCAGGACACTCATTTTTGGATAAACTACTTGAAACAGACTTCAAGTCTCTGGCATGATTTTCAAAGTAAGCTTTTCTAACCAATTATTGGGTTGACTTTAGTTAATATGAGAAAATTAATTCTTGTAAACAGCAGCATACTTCTCTCCACATGGGTGCATGTCTGGCTTCATATTTTTAAAGACATCTACTTTTGGGAAAACTATTTTCATCCATATGAAGAAAGTCACACACACAAAAATTAATGCAATTTGCAAGCATAAAAAAGATTCATTTTTGCCATTTAATTGCTATATTGCTCACTTTATTTATGTTTAATTGTCCTAATCGAGCCCTGTGGTGTTTGGCAAATATTAACAAGCTCTAGCTTGTACTTTTCCTTATAAAAGTTCAACTATGGATTTTCATAAACTGAAAGTTGTCAGGAGGGTATGTCTTTGGTGTTGTTTT